GCGCATATAAAAACTCCATTTAATAAGTCATGAAATGATATTCTTGTTCTTTTAGACATGTCCAAGTACACAGTAACGATATCTCCTTACTTTGTATTTAATTGACCAGCAAATTAGCTCCCAAAATAAGCCGAATTTTCTCTTTCATATACACCAACTTAACCTCGTTTTCAAGCTCTCAATTAATATAAAGCTTGTTAAATTTCAATTAATTGATTGATCTTTAGATTCAACGATAATTTTTGGTACACATACATAATTTTAATCTACATATGTAAATGTTTATGATTTTGGTTGATTGGTCGAGAAAATATGACATCCGTACATACGTAGTTGGAAATTCGCGTCTTTCCGATATTATACATGTATAATGAAAGAAATCCTGATTGAAGCGGTGATATTAACATTGATATATGTATTGCTGGGGATAACACATGAGCGTTGTCACAGAACAGCTTTGAACATAGCATTGGACAAGTCCTAAATGCTTTGGATCTGTAAAATGTACAATATCGATATTGCTTTTATGTGTGTTCATTTTTATGCAATCTTCATTGAGCATTTGAGGTGCACACATAAGGATAACAAAAATGAGTATACAGACAGATTCCGATTCAACGATGGGTCGGGAATATATAGTAACAAATTAAAAAATGCTGTTATTTCAAGAAATTTGTTAAATTGAGCTTGATTTTTATATGCACTCTTATGGAAAGGGATTTAAGATTGATGTCGTTAAAGTGTGATACTAATTAGTTCGAATAGTTGCTAAATCGAGGCCTGACTGTATAAAATTTGCGCTTTGGCACCTGTTTTCAGATAATTTTTCAGGTGAATTAAAAAAGCTGTATTCATTTTTTCCCTATTCACAATTTCTCTGCATCATATTTAAATTAATTATAATCGTTGATTGACTACTAAAATTTTTTGAAAAAATCCCTTGTATAAATAACCGCTTCTACTTCGATTTGTCATTGTTTAGAATCAGCAGGAAGCCACATGTTGTTTGATCCCACTTTGTGTAACGAGCATTCCCTTCTTTCACATCTAACAGAATGAGATAAGTAGACTTTTAATGATTTGTTTGTTGAAAAAATTTTCAAAGAATAAATAATAAGTCGTAAAATTTTGACTCCAAATTGATATAAAGAAATAATCCTTCAATTTTATTAATTAGATAATCTCTTAAATTGTGGCTTGTGAACTCTACAGAAAATTTGTGTGAATTTACATGCGTCACCCTGCAAAATTTTTCAAGACTTTCCGTCTGGTAACGATTCGGAAACGTATCTAATGCTGTAAATGAGATTTCTTTCGCTCCCCGCAAAATATTATAACGTAAAATATCATACTCGTTGGTGACGAAACTCATCTTTTGCTAGAACTTGCGACAAAAGAACATTCAACATGTCAAAAGATACCATCTCAAAAGGGATCGTGGCGAACTGGATGGCAATCATTTTTAAATTACCATCGAGTTAATAATAATTAAGAAAGAATGACTGTTTCAATGAAATTCGAAACGATTAAGGCAAAAGTAAAAAGTTTGCCGCGTGAAGAACGTTGATTGCATTAGCATGCTGTTGCTGATCTCTCCCATGTAAAGATATACGTACGTAAGTGCAGATATATCGATATGTAACGGTAATTTCCGTGGTGAAACTTGAAATGATATTTTGGGTGGTTTCACGTATCCCATTATAAACGTAAAGCATTCTGTCAAGCACTTCACACACCCATACAGAATTTTATTATTGGACCATTTGATTTTTAAGTCGCTGTATTGTTGACTGTTTAGAATATATTTTGATCGTCTAATAGGGAAATGCCACGAGTCATCTTTGAGAATTCAAATTTTGTCACACGGCAATTATATTAATGAAATGCATGACCAATCAGCATTTTATCTAGTTATTACATGTATTTGTTTAACTACGTAATTAAAAAATATTAACGTTAACAATTAAACAGATTTTTATTTTGGTTATCGTTATTACGTATTTGTTCATGAAACGATGTATTGATCTATGTTTACGAGATGAATAGTTCTATCATTTGAAAACCAATTATTAATTATATGACATTTTAATAGCTGTCGGCGAACAGAATAATGAACGAAACTCTTAAAGTTTCTATTGTTATTTATATTTATCAATCAATCATTTATGATTGATTTTATATAGAAAGTGTAAAGCATGGCATATAAAATAAGAATTTTTTCGAATTAGTTAAAAAATAGTCAATCATCGCATTTTCGCAAAAATCTAAGATTTTAAAGATTAAGGTAATGCCGAGTATTTATCAGACTATTTGATTGTTGAATCGAAAAATTTCTAAGTTTTAGTTTTAGTGTATGGTGCATAGCATCTAAAGTCATCAAACCTTTGTATTTATAAAATAGTAAATACAAAATTTAATGCGAAGATGGTAAAGAAGTTTATCCATTTATAAAATACAAACGTTTGATGACTTTAAATATTATGTAATCGTTCTAGTGATGTTGCTTCAGAATGTCAAATTTGAAGGAAAGAAATTCTTTTAGATTTAACATGGTTTCAATAGAGTGTAAGAGTTTTCCGTAGAATTGATTTTAATGTATTCTGATTAGAATTTCTATAAATAATCTCTGTTGCAAAATTACCCCTTTAATTAACAAATTGTACTGAAATTCTGAATTTTTTTACCACGAATTCATTTGGAAAGCGTTGAAAAATATTCCTGCCGAGCAGTAAAATCTGGTGGTTATTTGTATAGGAAACCATTAAAACACAAGGTACGAATGCACAGGCCAATAGATCTTTGCTTTTAGGATATATAAATCGTTGAGAATGACAGCTATTTTGAATTATAGTTATAGTGTACAGAAAACTTGATAATTAAAAGTACTTAAGTTGATTAATAATGTCATAAATTGCAGTTTGCGTATCTACGAATATATGATGTTACGATTTTTCAATGATCCTGGTACATGTACATAGCTACACTGCGCTCCGTAAATAGGGAGAATTTTTGATTTCTTACATTAAATCATAAAGTTTTTCTTTTTACTTGAAAAAGTAATTCCAAAAATATGATTTAAAAGTTGTAATAAAATTAATCGCAAATTATAGTTTTAAGCTATGAAAACAATTTTATTTGAACTTGAAATTTCAAGAAAATTTTGGTATTTTGTCAAGTGACGAATTAAGTTTTCAACTAGTGAAATATGTTTTTAAGCTAATAACATAAATTCAATTTAAAAGCATTATTCATAAAACTCAAAGACCATATTTCTTAATTTTTACCAATTTCTGATGCAACTCTCTTAAATAAAATAAAAAATTCTCATTATTTACAAAATATTATAAAAGCTATGTATTAAAATAACTAAGTTACATGCTGAATGTGATCGATTTTCTTGACATTGCATAATTTTTTACTTCACAGAAGGGAATTATATTACTTGTCAGCATTTTTCAAAATATTCGCGTTGATATATTGTGTCCGTGAAATTTGAAATCATCACTTAGAACTACCATCAATTTGTAATTGAATCCCATCAAATTAAGCTGCTATTCAAATCCTATTGCTTCTTGGTGTTAAGTAAACATTTATTCTTAAAGACACGATTAAAAAAAACAGTAACAGCTTACTTTTGAATATTTTGTCACATGCACTCGTTTAGATCAAGAATCTTTATTAAATAAGTATAAAATTTGCATTTTTGAGCGTAATGTATTTGGAATTGGCATAAATTCGCTCATGTTAACTAAATTGAGCATAAATCGAAGATATCGATATCTATTAATTTCAAATATTAATCCAAATTTAACAAATTCGACAAACTTCCAACAAGGACTGCCGTTTTTGTAAGCTTTTCAATTGCACATAAAAGTATAGCTTAAAGTTTATCTGCATTCAACTACCGTACGTTTTGGCCATAACACTAAATAATGTGTTTTTTACTCGCTTGGTCTTAAATATAAGCATCAAATTATGAGCAAACAAATAAAAGCTTGATATTTGCAAGCAAACGAATATATATATCACGTTCAAATGTATAAAATGTCAAAAAATGATATAAAACAAAAAATGCACTTAAAGAAATTCTTAAAGTTTGACAAGGTATCAAACACAGTAATTTTTATTTTTGCTTCGATGTTTCTTGGAGAAATATATATTACCCAAAAACCGTCATGGTTCATATAACTTTATATTCCCGGTGAATGTGATTTTCCAAATTTATGTTTTATTTGAAAACGCCGCTGGTAATAAAAGTTTGTGAAACTTGTCATACATTTATGCCCCCACAACTTGTAACTCGGATTGAACAAGTACTCCTTATTCTTTTGCATAGTTTTTCCCGTACTCTGAATGCAATAATTAGCAGTAAATGAGAAACAGAAAAATTTACATAAATTAACCTTGCTTTTTTAAAAAATTGAATTTTGAATAATTAATAAACAAATATACTGTAAATAAAGTTTTCTTTTGATTATTATTTTCGTTTTATTGGAAAGTAAGAAGAGTATAATACCAAAAAATTAATTTCAAAACTTTCATTTGGAAGTACTTCTCCACACGGGAATAAAATAATATACTGTAACAGTAAGTTAAAATGTTGGATTTCGGAAAAGAGAATTTGTTATACATGCAAGTCATGTAATTATATATGTGCAAATACGTACTTATCAAGACAATAAGTACATAGAATCACCTTTGAGATCACCTGAAAAAAGAATTTATTGATACAAAGATATTACTAAAAATAACCTTGAATTATGATGCATGTATTGTATGTTTCCTTTGAATGATTTATTGAATAAACAAAGTTTCATTTATCGTATTGCACATCATACATGATAAATATTCTTATAAAGTTGTTAAATTAAATAATTTCAACACATTTACTTTTTGCAAAAATTCGTCTTTTTATTCTGCATCACCACCACTGTTGCCTAGAATAATATATTGATAATTTTATTTCACCTCTTCTGTTAAGTCCAACTCTCACAAAAAAAATGAAAAACGTACTATCAACCCAATCACTAAATGTAAACGACGCAATAGAATACTTGGAGCTTGTACGCACGGAGTTCAACGAAAAACCGCACATATACATCGAATTTCTGGACATTATGCGAGAGTTCAAAAGTGCTGCAATCGGCACGGAAGATGTCATCGAGCGAGTCACTTTGCTGTTTGGTGACAGAGTTGACATTATTCTGGGATTTAACACATTTCTTCCGTCCGGATTTGTGATTGAATACTTGCATGGGGAAAACGGTAGAAACATTATTGTCAAGTCACCAAGTGGGCGCCGAGATTTTATGCTGCCAATTTCTGAAATTCCTACGACAAGTTTGGCGACTACGAGCAACTATTTTGTCATGCCCGCGCAATTAACAACGACATCTACAGAAATTCGGCATCTACCACCAGGAAATTATTATGAATCAACATCGTCTCAAAACGCATCGGAATATATTTCTCGACAACGGCAACAATATATTCCTAATTCTATTCCTGTTCCCATGAATCAACATCAACATATTCCTGCTCCCATAGATAATCAACAATCGCAACAGCATACTCCGACTTTTCAATTGCAGCAAAATCAAGTGGGAAGACGAAGTCAAGAACAAATTTCTTTCAATGAAGCGATAGAGTACGTCAATAAGATTAAGGTAAATTCTTGGCATTTTGCTTTTCTACATAGAATATATGCTATAATATATTTAGTAAATATTTATTTCATGAATTTTCAATTAATAGACACGATACGCAACAGAACCAGACATATACAAAGAATTCTTGGGAGTGTTACAAGCGTACCAACATGAGGAAATCAGTAATCTAGAAGTAAGTATCAATAAAATTTAGCACTTAAACTTTTCTAATTATCATCATATTCTAGGTATATTCATTCTAATGATAAATTAGGTTGGCTCACGCATTCAACGTATCCTACAAAAATCTCCCGATCTGTTGAGTGAATTCATAGGTCAATTTCTCCCTAGTTGTCCAGGTCCCACAAATTTAACTGCTAATGAGAATAAAGCTAACATGGAAACCATCGCTTCGGGCTCTATTAATGTTTCTGTTTCTTCGGAGCCGTTGGTACATGTAATCTCATCGGATGCTCTTGCAGGTAAAGAGAATACTTTACAAGCTGGAATTTAATATTTACGTAAATTAAATTATTTAATGTCGTAATCACCGTAGTCAATGAAGTGTTAAAAGTCAGCAACATTGCGACAGATATGAATTTACCATCGTCATCATCAATAGTTAATCTGCCTAATATTTACAATGCAAAGAAACGGAGGAACGAGGAAGATAATGTTTCGACTGCAGAAAAGGTATTTAATCTTTGCTGATTGTTAGCTTCGTACGTAAATGTTTAAGGAAAATAATAACGACAAATTCTGTTAATTACAAATACTAAAGGCGAAGAAAAAGAAGAGCAAAATTTCTCCCACTCTAATAACAAATCCGCCGATCATCGTTGCCAATTCTGTGATCACCAACGAAGAATTTACTTTCTTCAAACGAGTAAAAGAATTTTTAGGTCCAGCATCACCGGGATACCAAGATTTCCTTAAAATACTCGCTCTATACTCGCGCCAAATCTTAAATGAACAACTTACTATAGATAGAATGAAAATTATTTTTGGTGATGACGGCGGCGATGAATTACTTGCTGACTTCAAAAAAATGATTCAATATAGCGAAAAACAGGATCCGGAACCTATTCACAAGTTTTCAGCTAATGCTTCGCCTGTTGTGATTTTAGATCTGGACAATTGTAAACCTTGTGGACCCAGTTACCGAATGCTGCCGAAAGAAGTATTATTAAAAGTTTTCCTCTTTCATGTTTTCTTTCACTTATATTTTTTTGTAACCTTTGTACTTTCGAATAGTATGATTTTCAAAATATGCTCAGCACGAATATGGATGAAGTAGCACGCGAAGTATTGAATGATAAATGGGTGTCCTATCCAAAGTGTGAAAGTGAAGAGCAACACATAGCACAAAGGAGGAATGTCTATGCAGAAGCGATGAATCAATGCGAAGAAGAAAGGTTTGTTTCTTGTCTATGGATTTCTATTATACAATATTGTCAAAATACTGAAATTATAAAATTATATTTAAGATACGAATTCGATTTATTCATGGAATCGCTTTCACTCACTATCAAAACGCTTGAGCCGATCAAAAGAAAAATCAGCACGATGACTCCACAAGAGAAGTTCATGTTTAAACTTCAGCCCGGATTAGGTGGCAAATCTTTTGTTTATCAACGGGTAATTAAAAAATTGTATGATGGCGAGCGTTGTAATGAGGTGTTGGATGCGTTGTATCAGAATCCTGCGATGGCGGTGCCTGTTATATTAAGACGGTTGAAGCAGAAACATGAAGAGTGGAGGAAAGCACAAGTACGAGAATTATTGATTTATATTATAAGCACAGTTATTATTTTCGATATTGTCAACAATAAATTAATTATTTTAGATAAATTGGAACAAAATTTGGCGCGAAATCAACCACAAGAATTATTACAAATCGCTCGACTTTCAAGGCAACACTTTCAAATACGAAGACAAAAAGAAAACACTCAACACCAAAACTATGTTGAACGAAATCGAGCAGTTATATCAACAATCGAAAATCAATGATACATTTCAAAAGTGCCAGTATAAATACACATTTAATGATCCCGAAGTGTTACGTGATGCCGTTACACTTTTGCGCATTTATTTATATGAATCTGAAAGATATGATGTGGGACAGTGTAAAGCTTACTGTGATTTTGTTAAGTCATTGATTTCGAATCTGTTTGGTCTTCCATCAGAATTTTTTGTTGGTCATCGCGTTAGTAGTAAAAATAGCTATGATGATATGGAGATTGATGTGGAAGATGTTGATGTTCAAGAGGAGGAGGATGATGATGATGATGAAGGAGACGAATATTGGACAAGAATAGGCGACGGTGCCTCATTGCCGGAAATCGATAGTGATAGGATATGGACGCAGATTTCTGATAGCTCGCGTGATCAGATGATTTTGGCTGATTCTAGAATTGGTGATCGACCAAAATGCTTTTTTGGAAATAACTATTTTTATTATTTTATGAGACTTTTTCAGGTACGTAATTATTTTAATAGACTATATCAACCGCAATTGAATATTTAAATGTTTAAGGGTTTGCTAGGTTTTATACAGTCGTTTGGAGACACTAAAGAATCTACCACGACCGATTCGAAATGATATTCCAGATCATATCCCACACGCTGTGATAATGGGTCTACGAAAATGTTAGTTAATTCTTACAATCCGATTATAATACATATACCAAAATTCGAAACTTACAATTTAATATTTCATAGGCGATTCAAAATTAAGTGAGAATCCATATGAAGAATTACTGGACCTCATTATAAAGTATCTCAAATCTTCGAAAGAAACGACAACCATTCAATTTGAAGAATGTGTGTATAGGATATTTCCGACGAAGGGATATGTTATGTTTACTATCAAAAAATTACTTCAGAGTATCGTTAAAGAGGTAATTGTCAAAGGGAAAACTATTAAAATCATTATCTATCAAATTTATTTTTAATGTTTTATTGATTTAATAGATACAGAATATTGAGCAGTCTAAAAGCAGTAACGAATTGTGGGCACTTTACAAAAAACATAAAGACACTAATATTGATAACGATAACTATGATTTTGTTGGAAAAACTCGCTCATTATTAAAATACCAGATATATGCCAGAGAGATAATTGGCGATAGTGATCATATGTTTCGGATTGAATGTGTAAGTCGTCTGTTCTTATGTTCTCAATTTTAATAAAAATGTCGTTAACATTATTTTGTCAAATGATATTTATTTAATTGAAGCATAAAAAAGTGGTCTCAATAGCGTTTTGTGGTTTTTCTTCATTAATACTCGAAGAGGATTGGTCAAACTACCTTTATAGTTATGTAAGTGTAACCACAACAGAAGGTGTAGATTTACGGAATTTGAAAATGCCGTTTCTAAGAAGGTAGCCAATCGTGTTACATGTATTATTTTTCTCTTTTAGTCAATGATTTAATTTTAAGATAAATGTCTTTGATTTCTTTATTTCTAGAAACTTTCTAAAACTCGGATACACTAATGTCAAAAAACCCACCAAATGGCAAAAGAATAATTTGGAACTATCGATTAGCCGAGAATCATCAAAGATAATTTTCATCGATGGTTCAGAGGACTGTTTTGTGTCCCCGAATTTCGGATACGATGAAAAGACTGTGACAGCTGTCAAATTTTCCCGAAATAAGAGAACAGATACTTGGCGTACATGGTTGTCGGTGGTAAATTCTAACATTATTGATGGTTAATGAGTTAGAAATATTTATCTGTTAACAAAACAGTTTGAATGAAAAATGTACGTAGTGTTCTTAAATTTAACCTTGTATTACCTTCGTTTATTAATTTTCGATGATTATGTGTAATTAGCTGATAAAAATTACAAGGATAATAAAGGTTCGTGTTTGTCGTTTGGCTATCGAAAAATTATTTATAAACTCTTGTCTAGAACAAAGTCTATATCGATATGAATATTGCGATGATTTCACAAGAATATACGTAGAATATTTATATAAATAAATTTGTACATGTACATTAATAAAATTTCTATGTCCTTAAGCAGCCGCATCTCGATATAGTCACCGGGTTGGGAACAAGATTGGGTGTGACTAAGGTGATAGTGACTATAGAGGTTAAATTTCGTATAAATTGGTAAATACAATGTAAAATAGTGTGTGATTATTCTTAAATCGAGATACGACTGTAATAAGGACTGTTGAAAACATTTTAATAAATTAACCTACAGAGTCTAGGGTCTAAAAACTTCATCCGGCAAAAAGACGTTAAAGCATATTTTAAACTAGAGTAGAAAAATTAAAATACGAAGTAAAAACAAGAAATCCACTCAAATGCACTTCTCCAGAAATATTGATCAGTAAAGAACAGGAAAAATTTAAAAATCTGTATAATCTCTTGATCTTTTGTTAAATATTTTCAGGAAAAGAAAAATAACCTGAGCTTTTTCTGAACCATTATTTTTAAAAAAATTTCAGTAATTTCTAGATTTCCTACTATATTTCAGATTCTTTCTGGAATTACTTAGTGACTTTATAATTCTGGTATTTGCTGAAAAAGACAGTGCATGTACTAATAATTAGTTTAATAATAAATGTCACGGCTACTGCTGAAATTGATCAATGAAATTAGAGAATGAAAATTAATCAGCCAATAGAATGCATTATTTTTAACATCAGCCAGGTTTCAGCATTAGTCATCACAATAAATATATATCCTGGAATATTTTGTTTTTTTAATAAAGTCAGATATTTCTTAGTTTTATTTATAGACTGGTACATTTTGTTATATTTTCTTAATAAAATTGGTAATCTTTATAATTTAAATCTGAATACATTATAATATATCTTTGTATAATATAATATTCTATATTTTTTATATATTTTCTTAATAAGCTTAGTATATTTCTAATTTTTATTTATTAATTAATATATTTTGTTATATTCTCTAAATATAAGTTTTATTTTTAAATCTAAATATATAAATAAATAAAATAACAAAAAATTATTAATATTATTTAAATATAAAAAATATAAATAGTTTTTTTTATATTTAAAACTTTAATTTTATTAATAATAATTATTATTTTTACATTTTAATATATTTTTTAAATTTAATTTGATAATATAGTTCTAATTGCATATAAAATTAATAATTTTTTTATAATTGAAATATAAAAAGATTATTAATTTTATATATAATAAAAAAAATTTGTCAAATTAAATTAGAAGAATTTGATAAATATATAATAAAAAAATTTGTCAAATTAAATTAGAAGAATTTGATAAATATATAATATTATCTTTATTAAATGTAAAAATAAAAAATATTTATTAATAAAATTAAAAATTATTATATAGTAAAAAACAATTAAAAATATTAATAAAATTAGTATCTTTAAAGCAAAGAATTTTTATACAAAAATTATACCAAAAAAAGAAAATTGTTATTTTATAATAAATAAATTTAGCTACAAAATATCAGCACTTTTTTTTGTATAAACTTTAAATAAAGATTCTTTGTTTTAAAGATAACTAATTTTATTAATATCTTTATGTATTTTATACTATATAAAAAATAATATATTTTTTATATTTTAATATATATTACTAATAAATTTTTGTTATATTTTATTTTATTAATAAATATAAAATATATAAATATAATATTTATAAAATAAATATAATATTTATAAAATAAATATATATAATAATTTATATCAAAACAAATAATAATACTTAGAGAACAAAAATTTATAATTAGAAATCAATTTTATTAATAAAATATAATAAATTAAAATTTTTTTTATATTAAAGTTTATAAGTTTATTAAAAAATAATTTTTGTTTTCATATTAAAATAAAGTTTATAAGTTATAATCTAATATATTATTTTCAGATTTTTTTAAAGAAGTTATTTTAATAACAAAGTTAACAAAATCTTTGCAAAAATTATATATTAAAATATAAGATATTATTTTTTTAATATATATATTAGTAATTAAAACTTTTATATAAAATAAAAATCTTGTTATATTCTTTTTTATTATTATTCTATAAATAATATTTTAAATTTAAATTAAATTTTAAATTATTAAATAAAATTTTTAGAAATTACTTTTATTTTGTTTATATTTTTTTAACTTGATATTGCTAATTTAATTAATTATTTATTTATTTAGCTTATTTAAAATATATTAAATAATAATAAAATAAATTTGTTATTTTTTTATTAAATTAAAATTTTGCTTTTTTAAAGTTAATAAATTTAAAAAAATAATATTTAATTATTAGTAATTTTTTGTTAATAAATTATTATAAATTATTTAAGTTTGATTTACAAAATAAATAAAATTATAAATTTATTACAATTTCTAATTATAATTAATATTTTTTTAGATATTAATAATTATAATAATTTTGTAATTTTATAATTATAATATTAATATAAATATTATTTATAAAATTTGAATATAAAATTAATTATAATATTGAGTTCTAATATATTAAATACCAATAATTAAAAAATTTTTTAGAATTTATTTTATATATTGAAATAATATTAAAAATAATATAATAATATCAAAATTTATTAATTATATATAATAAAATATAGAATTTTTAATTTTATTAATTAATATTTTATTTTTAGTTTATATTAAAATAAAGATAATATTATATATTTTAATATATATTTTTCAGATTTTAGATTTAATCTAATAAAGTTGTTTTAATTACATATAAAATTAATTAAAATATATAATATTCTCTTTATTTTATATAAAAATAAAAAATAATTATTAGTAAAATTAAAAATCTTTATATAAAAAAATTTATATTTTATTTGTTTAATTAATAAATTTTAATATCATTATTATTTTAGATGTTATTATATATAATATTTTGTATATTTTTTTATAATATAATTAATTAATTTATTTATAACTATATAATATTTCATAAAAATTTATATATATATTCTTATACTATATTATCAGAAATTAAAAAAATAGTAAAATATAATAAAGTTAATATAGTTTCTTTATGTTAAAATTTATTTTTTTATTAATAAAATAAATTTTAATATAAAAAATATATTAATTATAGGGTAATTATAGACATCTCTGGCTGGAGATATATAACTTATATATCTCTGATCCGATTAGCCAATCAAAAAATGAAAATATCACGTGATATATATTACACGTGATCACACAGCAGACAATGTGTCAGACAGTCTGAGCTGGACTTATATAGGGGTTGGCAGTTTTCACGTCACATCAGTATTACCGATGTATACGTATTTGACTAGTTTGTTTTTGCTTTTTGGTTTTTTTTATTTTGATTATTGTTCTTTTTTATTTTACTTTTTGTTCTTTTTTATTTTTTGCAACCAACACAAGCAACGTGGATGCCAAAGGCAACCAACGCAACATGGTAACCAAAGGCAACCAACGCAATGTGACAATCAAAGGCAACCAATGCAACGTGGCAACCAACGCAACGTGATAATTAAAGGCAACCAACACAATGTGGCAACCAAAGGTAACCAACGCAACGTGGATGCCAAAGGTAACCAACGTGGCAACCAAAGGCAACCAACGCAATGTGACAACCAAAGGCAACCAACGCAACGTGGATGCCAAAGGTAACCAAGTAATATGACAACCAAAGGTACCAACGCAACATGGCAACCAATGCAACGTGGATGCCAAAGACAACCAACGTGACAACTAAAGGCAATCAACGCAACATAGTTGCCAAAGGCAACCAAGTAATATTGCAACCAAAGGCATCAATGCAACGTGGATGCCAAAGGTAACCAAGTAACATGGCAATCAACGTGACGTGGCAACCAAAGGCAACCAACGTAATGTGGCAATCAAAGATAACCAACGCAACATGGATGCCAAAGGCAACTGTAAATACCAAGCAACCATGAATACCAAAGGCAACCAACGCAACATGGATACCAAAGGCAACCAAGTAATCAAAGGTAACCAAGTAACGTGGATACCAAAGGCAACCAATGCAACATAGATACCAAAGGCCAGTGTTGTTGCATTCGGAAGGTCATTGGAAGACCATTGGAAGACTACTGGAAGTGAAATTAATATTAAATTGAATCTTCCAATGGACTTCCAGTCGCTATAAAAACCCACTGGAAGCAAAAATTAACAACACTGCCAAAGGCAACCAAGCAACGTGGATACCAAAGGCAACCAACGCAACACAAATGCATTAACACGAATTTTTCAACTATTCATAATGGATTGCCTTTGGTATTCACGTTGCTTGATTGTCTTTGGTATTCACGTTGCTTGGTTGCCTTTGGTATTCACGTTGCTTGGTTATCTTTGGTTGCCTTGGTATCCACGTTGCGTTGGTTGCCTTTGGTATTCACGTTGCTTGGTTACCTTTGGTTACTTGGTTGCTTTTGGTTACTTGGTTGCCTTTGGTATCCATGTTGCATTAATTGCCTTTGGTATTCATGTTGCTTGTGTTGGTTGCAAAAATAAAAAAGATCAAAAAGTAAAATAAAAAAGAACAAAAAGCAAAATAAAAAGAACAAAAAGCAAAAACAAACCAGTCAAATACGTATACATCAGTAATACTGATGCGATCTGCATCACGTGAAAACTGCTCTGCTTTAGTCATGTGCAGCAAGTCCCCGACGATATTACACAATCACACATATTGTTTCCTACTGTACGCGTATGTTTATTCATTTATTAGTGTGCTATGCGTAGGTTCTTGTGCGTAGGTTGTGAAGCTTTGTTCCAGTTTAAATTTCATATGAACATTATCTCCTCATTTAACATCGTCACCTCATCATCCAAGTTCATTCCATTCATTGTATTGTTTTTACATCTTGTCAAATCTGAACAATGGCTAGTATTACACCGAGTATGCATCAAGAAGCAACAATACAAGACGGTAAGATGTTTGTTTGTCATTTAATATTTTTTGTAAAAAGACTAATTGTGTTTTTAACATTTTTAAAGAAGTTGTTCTGAGCCAATCTACCACCTCTAATGAAAACCGTGATTATAATAAGGAATCCGGAATCTCGCTGAAACCCGGAATTTCGCTGGAACCCAGAATCTCGCTGGAACCCGAAAGCTCGCTGGAACCCGAAAGCTCACTTTTTCAACATGGCCAGGCTTACTTCTCTCTTGAAGTCTTCAAATATATTGCCGATCAATATGCCAGAACAAATGGATTTAAGGTGATTCTCTACAAAGGCAACAATCGTAGTGATGGCGTGCGTTCCACTCAAGTCTTTGCTTGTGATCGCTATGGTTTGTTCAAACCAAAGCCTAAAGATCCCAATAAAAAGAACAGAAATGTAGAATCGAAAAAATGCAATTGCCCGTGGTTTATTCGTCTCAATCATAACCGAAATGATGATATATATTATATTTCACAAGCCATTCTTCATCATAACCATTCATTGATTCCGGTCCAACTTATGCGCATCTCGTCTGCTAACCGTGAAATACCAGTGGAAATTAAAGAGGAAATTTTTCTTGCAAAAAAAGCAGGCATTTCAACATCACAAATCCAGTCACTACTTGTAGTAAAGTATGGACCAGCCACGAAGAAGTGGTTGATCAAAGATATATATAACTTGATTAGTTCTGATCGTATTTCTCGTAGCGAATTTCAAGCACATGATTTCCTCCTCCTCCTCCAGCAAAAACGCAATAACGATCCTGAGTTTTCTTATGAGTTCGAGTTGGATAATGACAATCGCTTGAAACATGTAATTTGGACATTTTCATTACAAAAATGGCAATATATGCGTTTTCATAATACGATTGTATACGATAACACGTATAAGAGTAACTAATTTTTGATGCCTTTTGGCGTGTTTACGGGTGTTACTAATAATGATCTTTCTTATTGTGTTGCTGGTGCATTGCTTCGGGATGAAACCCGTTCAAGTTTTGAGTGGCTTTTCGAATCCTTTATTCGCATTTTTGGTACTGCATCGCAAACCATTCTCACAGATAATGATCTCTCAATGGCTGATGCCATCCATTCTGTTCTGACCGAAAAACATGGTACCAAGCATGGTCTTTATATATGGCACATGCTTAATAATATCAAGTCAAATATGACCTCTAAGCTTGGACTAAAGTATGCTGAGTTTCATAAGGATCTTGTTAAGTGTCTTAATTATTGCATCGATCGAAATGAGTTTGAGGAGCAATGGAATCGTATTGTGGAAAATGACGACTATGCTAAAGCAAGATCATATTTAAACATCCTTAGTCAGTGGCGTGAGCGTTGGGCTCCAGCATACCTCAAGGACTATTTTTTTGCTGATATGTCATCAACACAAAGAGGAGAGTCGATGAACAAATTGTTAAAGGGCTTCCTCGACAGCAAAATCAGACTCACAGAATTTCTTGCGGCTTTTGAACGGGCACTTGATCGTTGTGAAGAGGCTGAGCATATTGCTACATACAAGAAGCTCGTTTACCCCATCCGTTTGACTTCCCAAAATTCTATAGAAAATCAAGCCATTAATTATCTGACACGGTATGCTTGGAAGAAATTCGCGGCTGAATGGAATGCCAAAGATGCATACGCATGCGAAGAAATAACAAACAACAATGGAGTGCGTCATTTTAAATTATCACGCTATGAAAGGCCTAACATTATATGCTGGGTATACTATAATGACTGTATACTTACTTGTTGCTGTCGTAACCTTGAGTTTGCCGGAATAATTTGTCGCCATTCTCTTGCAGTTGTAGTTTGTCTTTCTCTTACCCAACTCGATCTTGTTCATTTCCCAAAGCGTTGACAAAAAGATCCATCCGAACTGGAGCTTGCAAAAGATTATGTCAACTTTTATAGCCACTCACAATCGCAAGCTCCGGAAACTCCAACATCGTATGAATCATCCAGTGAAAGTGTCTCTCAACTCCGGTATATGCGTATCCATCGACTTTCAGGGGAAATTGCAAGCAAGATTGCAACCAACCCTGATAAGTGTGTAGATTTTATGTCGTACCTCAAGAAGTACTTAGAGACACTATATGTCGACGATGCTGTTTCAACTTCTCACGAGAATGCGTCAGCATCCTCGAAACATCCAATAATCAACAATCCTATCAAGAGTAAGGCTGTTGGACGACCAAAAAAAGGAAGAATCAGATGTGAAAAAGAGAATACAACCGCAGCTGCTGTGAAAAGAAAGCGAGGTCGACCAAAAGCAAATCCTGAAAAGAGCCTAACCCAGAATCAAAATGAGAATACTAATCTAAAACAGCTACGAAAACGCGCTCGTAATAATACATAAGGTAAATTTTAGATTATAATGTTAAAGTGTTCATTGATCTTGCGCATTTTAACTTGAATGAGTTTTAATGATTCGAATTTGTTTTCTAGTACCGCGTCAAATAATCAACTTCGATCAACTTCTTTGCCAAAGCTAAATGAACGTGGTGCTATACGACAAAGGATAAAAGCACAAAATGGATTACGTTGGATTACACTCCGGTTGGGATTAAAATTATTTGTAGCACTCTTTATAATTCATCAAAACTTTTCTTTATTATTCATCAAAAACTTTGCTTATACATGGCATGAAATTTTATAAATTGATTTATGTGATTCTTTAAATTGATTTATGT